CTTAGCAGGCTGTGATGTTAAATCCTGCAGCAGTGGCATTCATCAGCCACTGTGGCCCAAGACTGTGTATATTTTTATTCTAAACACCAGGGAAGCTGATCTCTGCGTTCATTAGTTCCTCCCTCTGGCTGAAGTTGTGCTGCTCAGCAAAATCAGCCGCTGCAGTGTTTGTTTGGAGTAAAGTGTGCGCTGTGCCGGCTCGGGTGGGGAGAGCCATCACTAAGCAGGCTAACACAATGAAACGGTTTGAAACCCAAGCCGAAGATAGCTAGTTGTCCTCTTAACCTTCGACCCCTGCCTAACCCTCTCCTCGGTCCTGTGTAGGAGCTTTCAAGCACGTGGTAGAACATCTGTGTGCTTCAGCAATTAGTAGTAGTAGTATACAGTAGGGCTAGGCAACTGGACAAATATATCAGCAATTTATTTATTTTTGCCCAATTTCTGTCATTTTATTCAACTAATTTAATGGTCTTCCTCCAAAGAACAAGTGACAGTCACAGCTCAATCCGGCGGCACAGTGCACACCCACTGAGCCCAAGAGTGGCGGCCAGTTGGAAGATTTGAAGATCCCCCAACCCTAGTAGTCATGTTCCTGTCGGGAAACACTCGTATTTCAATCCGGTGCAAGGGATCTAATGTTTATGCTTTCACACAGTGTTTCACCTCCAGGTTGGATTTGACATCTGTGAGATTTATAGTGCTGTGGTACTCCTTCCCTCTGGTGGAGGTAACTTTAACCCCGGCTGTAATATATACACTCTTTTCCAGTAATATCACATTTCCAGCCAAGAATAACTTCTTACTAATCAGATTAAGAGAGGCATTTCTTTCAAATTCCTTTTGAATTTCCAAAGACGGTCCTGGAAAAAACCCAGGTAATTTAAACCCAGGTTGATTAATACAGCAACTTGGATCTGTTTCCCTTTCTTGAAAGCTTAACATGCTTCTCTTGTGGAGAATAGCAGCCTAAGCATTTCTAGGTTAAAGACAAACTAGAGTAGACTTTTAGACTTTTTTTAGACTTTGAGTAAAAAAAAGCTTCCAAAATGCAATCTACTCACTTTGAGATTAAATTATAACATTGGACATTTGCTAGTCGAGGCCTTAAAAATACTTGAAATACAGTGTGTTGGCGAAATGTTATTATCTTTAAAGCAGCTACAAGGAACCTGTGATTCTGGAATAGCTCAAACTGACTGAAGAATAAGAAGAAAATGCTCCATAGGCCAGAAACCTTTAAATATTGTAGATTTGTTAGTATCCTTTGCCAGCAGTCCATTGGTACTGGGCATGTCATTCTCAGGTGGAGGCTTGGTGAATGTATTCCTGGCAGATATCCTCTGCAAGATTTAGAAGCTTTAACACCAGTTCCATCCTGTAAAGAAGCAGTCTGTTCCACAGTGGCCCACTGGCACACAATACTCCTCTGTTCACCGGATGCCAAATGCTCCAGTCATCACCCTCCATGCCACCCCTCCCCACCCCTCCACTGCTATCTAGCTCAGTCTTTTCTCTCTGTATCTGTCTTTCCCTGACCGTGACAGAAGCTGCTGATGGTCAGTCAGATTAGCATCCAGCCGCTGAAGGGACGACTTCAAAACGGACAAAGAAAGAGCTGCTTTGTCTCGATCTGGTGCCGATGACCCCGGAAGTAAGAGAGGAAACTGGGTGGACAGAAAAAGCATTACAAGAGCCATTACAGCGACCAACTGTGAGAGCCCGGTTGGAGGAGAATTAAGAAACTGGCAGCATATTGGTAGTTATTATGTCACGCATCTTCATAGTCCCCTTCATAAAACAAATGGTTCATTTTATTCCATGAATCCATGACACTGTATGTCTTTTGACTGTCCACTACTCAACTAACATTGTTGAAATCAAGACAAACCATTGCATCACATCTGCTGTAGATTTTGAGTTACCCAGTAACATGTCAATGCCTTCAACATATTGTACTGTGCACCATAAAACCCCCTATGACCCAGTGAACCTACAAACCAAACCCCAGCTCCACCCTGCGGACTCCATCTATTCAAACTCTATTCAAATCTAAACAGACTCTACAAACGGCACGCTGATGCACTCACCATGATTATAGAAAAACCTACACACGCTGCTGCATGAACACCATATGGCCTCGGTCATCAAGGCTCGACAATCCAAAGCAAACTATAAATATCACACTTTAATTTCACCAGAGCCAAAAACCTCCACTCCGAGGCTTTTCTATAAGGTTACTCAGCAATTAGTGGTGAGCTAAGGAATAGGTTAGCAGAGAAGCCTGTCCTTTGATATGAGGGCCCCATGTGATAGGCAGCAGAGAAAGATTACAGTTGTTTAAATCTTAGGATGCTTTTTAAATAAAGGGCAAATAGCAAATGACATCTGTGGCAACGTCAGGCTCAAATTATGGCAGGCACACATGTTGGTTTTTGTTTTGGACATTTTACTTTCAATGGAGCAAAGCTGATTAGCATAAACTTGCAAACTACATGGTGACATGTACTGGAGAAAATGTGTTTTAACCTAAAATAAGACTAAGACTAATAAGACAAATCAAGCAAATGAGGAAAATCTGCTGACCAAACAAACAGTCAAATTTAAAAGAAACACTGCTAATAAATATAACACAAAACACATGTATGTATCGCAAAAAGCTGTGGTTATTTGACAGCTGAAATGTTCCACAAACCGCAGTTTACTGCAGTACTGTAGTGCTGCGGAGATGCACCGGCCTACAAATCGAGAGTCACTGCAACTGATGATGTGAATAAGAAGAATAGTGTAATACCATACCTGTATATGGCGAAACTGATGAGATGCTTGTCATAAGAAAATCTCATACTGTTGCAGCTCTAGTTAGCAGAGGTGGAACATGCTGACATGTCACAGTAGAAAGATCACAGGTGTTGGTGATACAGTTAATGGTGGATAAACTGCAATTAGCTGCTTCAGTTTCAGGGTCCTGGTATTCTGTTGTTCATGGTGGCTCACTGTCACTGGCACACTGCTCTTTTTCCCTGACGCTTCATAAACCTATTATAATATTCCACAAAAATTCCATATTTTGAAGAGAGCTGAGTCCTTACTGCAGCGGCCATTGGGTTCGACTCTGACCTTTGGCCCTTTGCTGGGTGCCATCCCCTCTCCTGACACTCTGACTACTTTATATGACAACCTGCATGTACCTTTGTAAAAATGCAGAACTAAAATCAGGAATTATTTTAGTTTGATAAAAACAAGAAATGGGAATGAGCGGCAAAGTATTGGCTAGTTTTATTTCTAAAGCTTCGAAAATTAGTCAAACTAGACTGAATAATACTAATACATGCATGTGAGATCAGTTTATTTGATGCATGTCAAGTATGAAGGCATACAGAGTATACTATTCATGTTTTCCTATACAAGATACTACATTAATAACAGAATAAAGACCCCCTATCTGAGTAGATTTTTGTTGTTGGTGCATCTAAATGTCAACATATTTTAGCATTATTTAGCTTTACATATTTTCCAGCATATGTTATGAAAGTG